CACGATAGGTGTATGATGATTTGAAATCAAGCACTTCTACATTTAAACGGCCTTCTGAAATGAGTTTTGTAAATATTTGGGATCTCAGTAATCGGCAGATTTTCCAACAATTTACAAAACTCTCCAATAAATTACTTTGAGCCCTTCAATTTTTATAAGATAAAGCCCACTTATTACCATTTATGGTGTTTTGGAGAGCTTGCCATTTAGGCGGGAAAAAATATTCCATACTGATAAAAAAGTTGACTAACCGAGGGCCATCTTGCTCTGAACAACAAAAAAGTCTTAAGAACCCTCCATTACTGTACAAAGCAAATAACATCTAAAAGATCGGTGCGAAAGCCGAACCCAGCTGAAATGAATGTAAAACGCAATAAGAGACCTCGATGGAAAATTTTATTCCTATTTTTATTTCCTTGAATAAAGGGATGTGCGGCCTTAGCCGTCTCTGTTCGTTCCAACTTTAACGGGTTTGTTTGTTATTTGTTCGCGTCTCATTCCAAGAAATGCATGCCGTTCGCTCCTGGCACTGCCTCCTTTCCTTGTTTGTTAAGTTTACATCAGCTATGTATGTATCCTCGTTTTTTCAGACTGAATGTATTTTCAGTTTGCGAATGTAGACAATAAATTCCGTGGGTATGCCCTACAGGCAGTCAATTATGTGCTCTTGATGCTAACTGCAAGAAAATGGTTAGCTGCATAACTAGTTTGTAGTACTGAGAACTATTATGTGGAGCCGTAGGCATTTTCATTTTTTCTTTAGCCAATATATAAAAAAAGATCAATTGTCGCAAGTCTTAGATCCTTTTTTCTCAAATGTTCGACCCGCTACAATTGGCACGGATATTACGTATCTTGAAAAGTGATGTTATAGCGCTTTTTTTGACATTATACTGTTTTTTTTTGACATTATGTATGTTTTCATACAACATCTTAACTTATCACTTAGTTGTGCGTGTTGTCTAAACATCATGAGGCTTCAGTTATCAATGTTTGCTCTGATGTGATGTAAAATCTGCTCATTACTGGAGGTCTAGGCCATAAGTTGTATGTGTTGATGATAATTCCATTGGATTCTTGTCTCAAATACACTTAAGTGAGATTCAAAGCTAGAAGTTAGTTGCGCATCCAATTTTTCTTATCATTCTGGAAATTACATATGCAAATTTGCTTAATTTTAAAAATGAGAGAGATAAGAAATAATTATATCACTGTACACTGTCGAATTACAAGCCATAGACAACGCGGGGCGCGGTGATGATTTCTCGTAATTCTCCTGTTTTTCGTAATTTCTAACTTTAAACATAACCTGTCGTCAGGAAAGGACACATATACTAAGTGACATATAAATCCGAACACCCAGTTTAAATGGTTTTATTTTAATAAAAGTTGGTGAATGTATTTATCTTACTGTAAATAACAAGTGAAAAAATTTTAGCCTTATCAGTTGGACATTCCGGTTTTTATACTGCTTTTTTTTAATTCACTAACGCTCTAAAAATGAATATTCATCAGCCGCAGTAAAGAATCAACGTTGGCGGATTTTGGTTCTTGACATCCTTTACGATCGGTTACGATGCCTAGAGTATGGAGACCTGTACGATTTCGTCACCTTAGTGAGTTTGATAGGGGCCGTATAGTGGGACTTTCGGGAAGCTGGACTTTCTTTTCGGGCAATTGCACTTAGAGTGCAAAGAAGTGTAGACACTGTGCTTAGGTGTTGTCAGGCATGACTTCAAGAAGGCCGTACGCAAAGAGCAAGGGGCACTGGACGCTGCCGTAGAACAACAGACCGTGAAGATCGCCGCCTAGGCTAATGGGCGTAAGGGACCGTTTCTCCACTACCAGGTCCATTGCAGAAGACCTATAGACATGCGAAGTGTTTACCGACGAATGAGAAGTTTTGGCTTGTTTTCATACCGGCCACACTGGGTCCTCCCTTTAACTCGAGAACACCGACGTAATCGCCTTGAGTGGTGCAGACAACGGTCACTCTGGGATCAGGAATGGAACAGTATTGTCTTTAGTGACGAGTCTCGATTTTGTTTAGGCATGCACGATGGTCGTGCCAGGTTAGAAGGCGACGTGGTGAAAGGAGGAATCCACAGTTTTTTTGTTGAAAGACATGTTCATCACACTGTTGGAGTTATGGTTTGGGGTGCTATAGCTTATGGTTCCAGGTCACCTTTAATCTTCATCAGAGGTAACATGAACGCGCAGCGTTATATCCACGAAGTTCTAGAACCCCATCTTTTACCCTATCTTGACACCCTGGCAGATCCAACTTTCTAACAAGATAATGCCCGACCACATGTTGCAAGAGTCACAATAGACTTCTTTCAACATAATGATGTCACATTGTTACCATGGCCACCAAGATGTCCCGACTTATCCCCAATTGAGCACTTGTGGGATATGATGGGTAGGAGATTGCTCAATTTGCAACGTCCTCCTCAGACTCTAGAAGCACTTCGAGAGGGGTTGGTGGTTGCCTGGAATGAGATACCACAGGAGGACATTGACCACCTGATCAGAAGCATGCCTAGGCGCGTTGGAGAATGCGTAGCACATCAGGGTGCATCCACACATTATTAAGGTCAAAGGGCTTTAAAGCAGTGCAATCATTTTGAAATTTTTATCATTTACTTATTATGCTTCATTAAGTACTTATACAAAATTTTATTAAAATAAAACCATTTAAACTGGGTGTTCGGATTTATATGTCACTTAGTATATAAATGACCCGTCGGGCACATCTAATATATATACTTCATTGGCAGCATATTCAGTAATGATTTTCTCACACAGCAAATATCACTGATTTTATACACATGCAGACTAATACACATGATCATCCAGATGCGATCTAGCTATTCAACCAACTTTCTTCTCAGAGATAAAAACTACAGACTTCTCGGCCTCACAAAATATATGCAACCAACGATGCGTGTAGTTTAGTTGAGTGATTCTTCCAAAAACTACCTAGTCTGCAAGATGACATCTTATAGGTTTTTTTTTGACGTTTCATACGTTTTTACATAATACACGTGCCGATCACCAAGACGCATTAGACAGATGTTCCAGATTCCAGAATAGTCATTCCAATACCTCCTCCATCTGTCTTTGAACGTTGCTGGAGCACTGCGTAAACCAAACGTCGTCATTGTAAACTACTACATCACTGATCCAATACTAATGGCAGTTTTCTGGCAGAGTATACCTGCTCACATATCAGTTTACACTATCCAAATCTTTAAACCATTTAAAACTTGCTAAAGTTTCTTTTCATCTATTCTACGCAAGAGATAGCTATCATTGGTAAAATTCATTCTACGTCAGTCCACATAGAAACATATCTGCTGTTATCCTTTTTCTTGTCTAAGACTACACGTGGAGCTAAAAAGACTGCTAAATGGTGCCACTGCTCTTTTCTTTCCGAATAGTTGTTCCGGCTTTCTATTTTTTTTTTGGCTTGAAACAATCTTTTTGCATCTTACTTATTTGCCATTGCGGCTTCGTATAGTACAAAATATGCTTTTTGTCGCTTTTGTCTGGCCATGCAACAGAGCTTTGAACGCTATATCTAGCACCAGGGGGTCAATTCTTGAGACGAGGGAGTACCCAACTAGCAAAGTAGTGGTATAAGCTTTTGGTAAAAGAACCGTTCAGCCATAAAAGCTCTCTATTGTTGTTGCCTGAACACAAAAATGCTGGCTTAATGTTGTGTTGAATGCAGATTTGCTTTCTGCAACATATTTGCTCCAAAATGAAGTGTTTAAAATATTCTTATAGCATAGTTATACAACACCTTATAGGTCAAATTTTAACTGTTGCATAAACGTTTATACAACTATTTTATACGGCATATTTGCAGTCAAAATGGTTGTGTTGTCGCATCCATGGTAACGTTTATAAAACAAACCCGAGCCTTGTTGTTTTGCTGTGCAATTTACTACTTTAGCCAACAAATTGCTCCCAACGGAAGCACTTATACAACTGTTGTTTAGTAACTGTTAGAGGCTGTACATATGCTAAATATGTAGGTAAACAACTTCACCATAACCTAACTTTCTGCTGTCATATTTTTGTAAAATGCTAAAATGCCATAATCAATGTTTTAAAACAAACAACGCATGCATATTGGTTCAAAAGGTTATTCAACTGTTCAAACAGAAGATATAGATCTCGTACAAATTCTGGGTAAATCATTCTACTCTGTCGGTATTTCATTTCAGACATTTGTCAAATTGTTGTATAACACCTGCAGGCAAGACCAAAACATTCTAACAACCTAACGACAACATGGACGATGCCATGATTGTACACAACCACCCGCCATATTGGGTAAACATGTATTCCTCTATTTAATATTAAATAATTATGTTTCAGATCGAAATTACAGATATAAAGTGATAAACATTAGTGTAATTGTGTCTAAATATAGGATTTGTGGAAGATTTAACGCAGATAAGTTCAGTTTTCCATCTTAAAAATCTAGACATACTTTTGGTCATTTTCAAAATATGAATCTAATATGAAGCCCGTAGAAATTGGGTAACTAATTTGCACGATATCACAGTGTAGAAGTTTATCATATACTTGTGTATAAATTCACAATGGCCGATATGTAAGTGAACAAGATGACTGTCATGTGTTAGTTATATATTCTTCACTTCGTCTATACAATACATAAGAAATAGTTTGGTTGCAATAAATTAGAATCACGTAACAGACGTAAATGTCCTATAGCGGCTGCAAGAGGCTTACACTTTTGTTTTATAACTGTTACCTGCAGCTCTTATTTAACCTCTTAAATGACCGAAGTCTCCTATTATATTTCATATTGCCGTTCTCGAATTACAATAATACACTCGTAGTAGCACTTTTTTCTGCGCCCAGCATGCACGATTTTAAAGTAAATCCGGACCTGTCTCGCCCCGACTTCGCTCCAGTCCATCCATCCGCCGGCGCTGCTAGCTCATTGCAATTTTTTCGTGCGCCCGGTGTGGTACTGTGTTTACGTTTCGGTGTTTACAGCGTGCAGCGTTTAAAATGAATTCCAAACGAGACTCTAAAAAACGAAAACTTCAAGCATTGTTGGAGGACTTATTAGATAGTGCAAGTAAGTATATTAATATTCCTTACTGTTCGTTTTATTACAGATTTACTGATCGCAAAACCCCACAGGGTTTAGGCGAATACACGAAATACACGTTTCCCACAGAAACGGTGATATTTTATAAACATAAACCATAGGCAATGAGGTAGTCCTACTGGCCTATTGAGCCTTTAGTATTTATAAACGATGTTTCCACAGAAATGCGTTTATTAATATTCCCACAGGAATATATATAGGTATATTAATTCAGTTATTTCGACTGACATGTATTTGTTATTCTTACAAGAATAGCTCGATAAGAATGTCTTTTTTACCTGTTTTGACCTCGACGCGTACCCGAGCGTTATCTCTTTACGCTGACCTGTTTGTATTATTTTATTTTACCATCTATACGATCTATTTAGCGGGGATTTACTGAGCAACTTTAGGTTGTTCTATTTTAGGTGAATCGGATGCTTCACAACATCCTGAATCTATACAGAATGAGGAGACCCCAGGGTTAGATGAAGAAGACGAGGAAATGAACATTCCCATCGCCCATCTAGGAACAGGTGAAAAACCTGTTAATCCTTTAATTGCCCTCCTTGAAGGAAAAGGATCAAACTTAAACAATGGACCAGCAGTTCATGAAGATATTCAACAGTTGCTAACGCTGTTTATAGCTAAAGGTTTAGATAATGATACACGCAAAGAGGCCATTGATTCGTTTCCGTTGCTGAAAGGCTGTACGGCATTAAATCCGCCCGAACTAAATGCTGAAATAAAAATCTGTTGAATTCCGCTGTTCTTAGACAAGACGCATTTTTGGTAAAAATTCAAAACCAATTAGCCGCCATAATCAGTGCTTTGGCGGTGCAGTTTAATGAACTGTATAAAGATTCCAAGTCCAACCCCAGTCAGCCAACCGAGGAAGTTTTAAAAAAAGCTGGTGATCCTCTAAAATTAGTAGCGGACACATTTCATTCCATCTCTTGTCATCGGAGATACCTAATCGTTCCATCTTTGGACTCATCCATAAAAGACATCTTAGAGGCGTGTCCAGTTGATTCTCTATTGTTTGGAGTGGAATTCCCAGAAAAATGGAAGATGTCTAAAGAGGCGAAGAGATTGGGAGCTTCTCTTAAAAAGAAACCAAACAAGATCTTAAGAACAGGACCAAGTTTTTCTACTCAATCCATGGCTGTTGCTGGGCCGTCATCTTCAACTCCACGTTCCCGTACTTATCAGGCTAGAAATAAGAGTCCTTTTTTACCCTCGAGCCGCCCACCAGCCAGATCTCGATTTATACTCAACTTAAAAAACCTAAATTGTTTTCTGGATCCACCTCATTTTAAAATGGAGGACTACCGAACTGTGTTACAGTTAATATTTAAAGATTGTTTTTTTACAACTTTGGATTTAAAAGATGCTTATTTTTTAATTCCAATTCACAATGATCACAAAAAATATTTGATGTTTAAGTGGGATAATAAATATTATATGTTTAATTGTTTACCTTTTGGCCTCTCTACAGCGCCCTTTCTATTCACAAAGATTATGAGAGTAGTAATAAAATTTCTTCGATCAAGAGATATTACTTGTGTTTCATATTTGGACGATCTTATCATTATTAGTAGATCAGAGGGAGAGGGCATCAAAGATGTAGACTTTACTTCACAGCTGTTGGAATCTCTGGGTTTCATCATAAACATCAAAAAGAGTTCTTTTATTCCTTCTCAACAATGTCAATATTTAGGGTTTATCTTTGACTCTCAGCGTTTATTACTATTATTGCCAGATGAAAAAAGGTTATCTCTCTTACCATTTATTACCCAGGTCATTAAAAAAGACAGAGTGACAATACATGTTTTTGCAAAATTATTAGGTAAATTAGTAGCTGCTTGTCCTGCTATTCAGTATGGCTGGGTTCATTTAAAAACCTTGGAACGTGAAAAATTTATAGCGTTACGGAAAAACAATCAAAACTATAATTGCTCTATGAATATCTCTGTTGCAGTTACAAAAGACTTACAATGGTGGATAAAAGCTATTTCTAGTAATAAGGGTGTCCCTATACTTTCAAGTCACAAGTTCACACTAGAAATATTTTCAGACGCATCACGCTCTGGTTGGGGAGCATTCTGTAATGGAAAAGCTACTAACGGGTTCTGGGATCCAATACAACAAACCAAACATATAAATTTTTTGGAACTCCTTGCGGCTTTTCATGCTGTGAAATGCTTTGCCAATAAATTATCTAATTGCTCACTACTCATTCGAATTGATAACACGACAGCTATTGCGTGCATCAATCGGATGGGAAGTGTAAGGTTTGGACCCCTCAACACCATATCCAAAAAATTGTGGACTTGGTGCGAAAGTCGCCAAATTTTTCTGGTCGCCTCATATATTAATACGGCAGATAACATATTCGCAGATAGGGAGTCAAGAACAACAAAAATAGATACAGAATATGAACTATCCTCATATTGTTATGAAAAGATTTGTTCTCATTTTGGAACTCCGAGCATTGACTTGTTTGCAACCTATATCAACTCTAAATGTTTACGTTATATTTCTTGGAAACCAGATCCTGAGTCCTTACGGGTAGATGCATTTACGGTATTTTGGGGAGACGAATTTTTTTATGCTTTCCCACCATTTTGTTTGATATCTAAATGTCTACGTAAAATTATCAATGATAAAGCAAAAGGCATTATTGTGGTATCAAGTTGGAAAACTCAACCTTGGTACACCATATATAAAAGATTATTGATAACGAAACCTTTGTTGTTCAAACCAAGTAAAGATTTATTACTTTCGCCTTTCAGAGAGCCACACCCCCTATGGAAAAGTCTTATCCTGGAGGCAGGAATTTTGTCCGGAACTCTTTCCTCCATAGAGGCTTTCCAGCAGTAGGTCTGGATACAGTTATGGAATCTTTAGCTCCAAGCACTCTTCACCAATATAATTCTTATTATCAAAAATGGTGGTCTTTCTGTATTAAGTCAGAAAAAACCCTTATTCGTATTCCTTGAACTTATTAATCTCATTTTTAACTGAAGAATATAAAAAAGGTGCCTCATATGCTACACTAAACTCACAATATGCGTCCCTCTTATTATTATTTAATATAGATGCCATAGATAAAGCTCATTTAAAGAGATTTCTCAAAGGTGTTTCCAAGAAAAATCCGCCAAAACCCAAATATCAAACCACATGGGATCCTACCTGTGTTTTAGGTTTTTTATCATCTTGGTACCCATTAGAGGAATTACCAATTTCTCAATTAACGCAAAAAATGGTTACTTTACTAGCATTAGTTACAGGCCACAGGATACAAACTTTGTCAAAAATTAAAATTTCGAATATAATATATTTTGAAGATAAATTAGAAATAAGGATACCAGATTCTATAAAGACCTCATCGTGTAAAAATTTCCAGCCTGCTTTGGTTATACCATATTTTAGAGAGGAACCAAAGTTGTGTTTAGCTTCTGTTATTGATGTTTATATTAAAAAGACTAAAGATACCAGACCTAACGATACAGATTACTTAGTTTTAACTTATAAAAAACCAATACATCCGGCGAGTTCACAGCGTATCAGTAACTGGATAAAGCTTACTTTGAAAAGCAGTGGGATTGATATGTCTCAATTCTCCGCTTATAGCACGCGTCATGCGGCTACTTCGGCAGCATATCGAGCTGGCGTGTCAATTGAACAAATCAGAAAGACAGTTGGCTGGACAAAAAATAGTTCCATGTTCAATAGGTTCTATAATCGCCCGTTAGGTCTGGACTCTACAGAATTTGCAAAAGCAATCTTGACTTTAAAATAGGTTCAGATTTGCCCTGTGTTTTGTTCCTATAGATTTAGATTGGTTTGGTGTTTTGTTCCTATGGTTGCTTAGCAATAAAAGATTTTTGCAGATCTAGATCGTTTAACTTTAAACATCTACGAGTGTATTATTGTAATTCGAGAACGGCAATATGAAATATAATTACTAGATCAATTGACTTACCTTAAGGAAAATTGATCGATATTATATGAATATTGCCGTTCGAAGAATTACAATCCCTCCCATATCCCTACCCCCTTCACGATCTAGATCTTCCTGGGACTTCACCAAAATTGCAATGAGCTAGCAGCGCCGGCGGATGGATGGACTGGAGCGAAGTCGGGGCGAGACAGGTCCGGATTTACTTTAAAATCGTGCATGCTGGGCGCAGAAAAAAGTGCTACTACGAATGTATTATTGTAATTCTTCGAACGGCAATATTCATATAATATCGATCAATTTTCCTTAAGGTAAGTCAATTGATCTAGTAATTATGTGTGCCCATTCCGCTTGTATAGCTGTTGTAAGAGGGTTTTGCCAATGTTCTTACAGTATACAATGCTGTTTAAGGAATACTGTATAATCATTCTTGCAACTCTAATAGGAGTGATAATTGTTAGTTGGGTATAATATGTGATAGAAAGTGGGCCATGGTTCTATTAATTACCTTTCGAGAAATTGTGTTCTTTACACTGAGAGAAGACTCGCTCCCCGAGTGGAGGAGAAAAAGTGCGGAGGTCTCACCGTCGTTCATCACTCTCATCTATAAAGGCGAAGTTATCTTTATGATGTAACGTTTAATGATATTTTTTTGGCAAAAATGAATCGTACTACTATTCTTCATTATTCGTCAAAGCGGTCCGGTGGACCTTTGCTCTTAGTTAAAAGTCTCGTCGGTCTGTTAGTCTGTCAGGTCTGGCTACCCAGATACCAAACATGTTTAAGGGCAAAAGGGAAGAAGGAAAGAAAGGAAGGAAGAAATAGAGCAAAGACAAGAAGTAAATCATTTGAAATAGCTTAAGCATCATTGCTTTGACTACTCGAATTATTTTATAACTCCAAAAAATAATTTTGATCGGTTTTGTATACTTAAATAATTTTGGCTGGTCTGAATTTACAATTTAACTTTCATCACAGTGCGAGGCGCGGCCTGGAATGTTTGCGAACTGGCTCGACTGTGTAGTCTACTGAATCACGCAACAGAGGGTTGCTGTTCGATTCCGCTTGATTATAACGCTGCGCTTGTTGTTTTAGACAATCCCTTAGATATGGAATATCAAGATCTCTGTGAATGGTCTCATTTGACACGTATCAAGGGGCGTTAGTAATTATTGTGCGTTTTCCACTTATGCAGGGTGACCAAAGGAAGTCAGGATTTTTTGGCAAAGTTCTCAATTTTTGATCTTGGGACATTTTTCTCAAATTTTTTCGAAAGTTGGGTTTAACTCAAATTATCAAATTTTTATTTGGGGGTTTCTCTTGAGAATGTACATTATATTTTACAAGAAAAGTAAAGCAAGTGGAAGAAAAGATAAAAATTTACTAGAATGATATTCTCTCAGAAAGGTATCCCTTATTCTACAATTAAGTTATTGCAACGCAAAAATCAAAATCGTGATCAATGTATTGTA